TGCCGGTTGGTGATCGGTGACGCGAGACGATGTCGAGTACGTCGTTGCGGTCTGTGGTGAACGGAGCGATGTGTACGTCGTGGCGGTGAGTGAGTGAACGGAGCGATGTGGTACGTCGCTTCTGTAGTGACGTGAATCGAGCGATGGTGTATACGTCGTTGCGGCTCCGGTGACGTGAACGGAGCGATGTGGTACGTCGTTGCGGCCTGTGAGTGAACGCGCCTGAAGCGGAATGTGGCCTACGTCGTTGTGGGTGAGTGAACGGAGCGATGTGAGTACGTCGTTCCGGCCCGTGAGTGAAGGGCGATGTGGATACGTTCCAAGTTCGTGGTCGTGAGTGACGGAGCGACTGTGTACTGTCGTTCCTTGGGTGATGTGAAACGGAGCGATGTGGTTTACGTCGTTCCTGGTGAGTGACGGACGATGTGGTACTCGTTTCTGTGTGTGATGTGAACGACGAGCGATGTGTACGTCGTTTCCTGTCCTGTGAAGTGAACGGAAGCGATGTGGTACGTCGTTGTGGGTATGATCGAAGCGGAGCGGATGCTGGTACGTCGTTGTGGCGTGTTGTGAACGGAAGCGATGTGCGTACGTGTTCCTGGTGATTCTGTGATGATACGGAGCGATGTGGATTACGTCGTTGCGGGATGAGTGAACGGGCGATGTAGGTACGTCGTTGTGCGGATGACGTGAACGGCGCGATGTGGTTACGTCGTTGCGGTCCTTTGACTTCGTGAAGGAGCGATGTGGTACGTCATTCGCGGGTGACGTGAACGGGCGATGTGGCTTACGTCGTTCCGGCATGAGTGAACGGAGCTGTGGTACTCGTTCCTGCTCGTCGAGGAAGGACCATGTGGTACGTCGTTCTGGTGCAGTGAACGGACGATGGGCGTACGTCGATTAGCTGGTCCACTTCGTGGTGAACGGAGCGATTGTGGTACGTCGTTCCTGTAAGGAACGGAGCGATGTGGTTACCGTTCGTTGGGGCGTGACTGAGGTGAACGGAGCGATTGGTACGTCGTTCCTGTCAAGTGAATGAACGGAGCGATGTTGGTAACGTCGTTTGTGGGGAGTGAACGGAGCCGATGTGGTTACGTTTCGTTCTGGTGACGTGAACGGAGCCGATGTGGGTACGTTCGTCCTGGTACGTGAACGGAGCGATGTGGTACGTTCGCTTCCTGCGTGAGTGACGGACGCGAATAGTGGTACGTCGTTCCTGAGTTGACGTGAACCGGAGCGATGTGGAGGTACGTCGTGCCTAGGTGCATGTGAAACGGAGCGATGTGGTAGCGTTCATTCTTTAGATGAGTGAACGGAAGCGATGTGGCTACGTCGTTGCTGAGTGATGTGAACGGGAGCGATGTGTACGTCGTTTGCCGGGTGACTGTAACGAGGCGATGGTGGACTACGTCGTTCCCTGCGTGAGTGAACGGAGCGATGTGGGTACGATCGTTGTGGCGTGATGCGTTGAACGCGAGCGATTGTGGTACGTCGTTGTGGGTGACGGAACGGGGGCGATTGTGCGTACGTCGTTGCCTGGGTGATGGTGACGAGCGACTGTGGTACGTCGTTAGTTGTGCCGTGAACGGAGCGATCGTGGTTACTGTCGTTAGGCCGTGAGTGCAACGGGAGCCGATGTGGCTACGATCGGTTACTGCGTGACTAGTGAACGGGAGCGATGTAGGTACGTCGTTGCGGGCGTGTGAGGTGAACGGGACCCGATGTGGTACGTCGATTGTGGCGCGTGTGACGGAACGAGTGTAGTGGTACGTCGTTCCTAGGTGATAGTGAACGGACGCGATGTGTACGTCGTTGCGGGGTGAGTGAAAGGAGCGATTGTGGTACGTCGTGCGCGCACGTCGATGATCGTAGAAGGAAGCGACTGTGGTCCTACGTGCGCTTCCTGAAGTGATGTGCGGAGTGATGTGGTACGTTCGTCTGCCAGTCGAGTGAACGGAGCCGATGTCGCTTACGTCGTTCCAGGGTGACTGTGAACGACAGCGAATGTGGTACTCGATTGTGGGCTGAGGTTGAACGGAGCGTGTGACAGTACGTCGTTGTGGGTGGAGTGACGGAGCGAATGTGGTACGTTTCGTTGTGGCTCTGTGGGTGAACGGCAGCGATGTGGTTCGTCGTTGTGGCGTGAAGTTGAACGGCGCGATGTGGTACGTCGTTACCTTGGTGACTCTGTGAACGGCGCGATGTCGGTACGTCGTTTAGCCGGCCCGTGCGCGTGAAACGGAGCGATTGTGGTACGTCCGTTGGGGCGCGTGAGTGACGACGATGTGGTTACGTCGTTATCCGTTCTGTGAAGTGAACGGAGCGACTGTGGTACCGTCTGTTAGTGGGTGTGATGTGACGGAGCGAATGTGGCTACGTCTTTCCTGTGATGACGGAGCAGATGTGGCTACGTCGTTCCGGTCGGTGAGTGACACGGCAGCGATGTGGTACTGTCGCGTGCGGCTTTTGTGATGGTGAAGGAAAGCGATGTGGTAGTCCGTTGTGGGTGAGTGTGAACGCGGAGCGATGTGGCTACGTCAGTTGCGGTCCCGTGACCCGTGCAACGGGGCGACTGTGGTACGTCGCTATCCGGCGCGTGATTCGTGAAACGGAGCTGATGTGGTACGTCGTTGTGCTCGCTGGTGAACGGCGAGTGTGCGTACGTCGTTCCGGCTGTGACTCGTGAACGGAGCGATGTCGGTACGTCGTTGTGCGGTGACAGTGAACGGAGCGACTGTGGTACGTCGTTGTGAGTGGACGTTGAACGGAAGCGCGATGTGGGTACGGGGTCGTGTGTGGTGAGTGAACGCGCCGCGATGGTGGTACGTCGTTCCTGCGTGATTGTGAACGGAGCACGATGTGGTACGTCGTTGCGGCGCTTACCCGTGATGTGAACGGAGCGATGTGGTCGGTCGGTTGTGGGTGACGTGAACGGAGCGATGTGGTTACGTGTTGGGGTTGACTGTGAACGGAGCGATGTGGTATCGTCCGTTCCTCGTCTGCGTGAATGCAACGGAGCGATGTCGGTACAGTCGTTTCCGGAGTGAACGTTGACGGAGCGATGTGGTAAACGTCGTTGCGGTTCTTTTCCCCCTGTGTTGAGTGAACGGAAGCGATGTTGGTAACGTCGTTCTTGCGTGACTGCTGAACGGGAGCGGATGTGTACGTCGTTACGGTGTGAGTGAACGGAAGCGAAATGTTGGTACGTCAGCTGTCCTGATGAGACTAGTGAACGGGAGCGATGTGGTTAGTCGTTCGCTTCCTTCCTGTGATGTGAACGCAGCGATTGTGGTACGTCTGTCTTGGTGAGTGAACGGAGCGGATGTGGTACGTCGTTCCGCTCACAGCGCACGGTCTCGTACCTGGTGATTGTGAACGAGCGATTGTGGTACGTCGTTCCTTGGTGCAGTGAACGGAGCGATGTTGGTACGTCGTTCCTGGGGTGTGACGTGAACGGAAGCGATGTGTAGTCCGTTCCTGATGCACCGGTGAACGGCGCGGAATGTGCGTTACGTCGTTCCTGGTGAGTGAACGCGAAGCAGATGTGGTTACGTTGCGTTTCCTGAGTGCAGTGATCTGAACGGAGCGATAGTTGGTGACGTGTTCGTGGGTGAGTGACGGAGCGTGCGGTACCGTCATTTCCGGGGTGACCGGTGAACGCGTGCGATTGTTGTACGATCGCTTGCGGTTCTCAGTTGAGTGAGTGTGAACGGCGCGATCGTGGTCACGTTGTTTCCCGTGGATGGTAGAACGGAGCGATGTGGTACGTCTTTCCTGTCTGTGAGTGAATCGCGAGAGCGATGTGGTACGTGCGTATGCGGTGAAGCAAATGTGAACGCGAGCGACATTGTGGACTACGTCGTTCCCGTCTGTGACGTGAACGCGAAGCGAATGCTGGTACGTCGTTCCTGCGTTGACGTGAACGGAGCGATGTATGCGTACGTCCTGGTGTGGCTGGCTCTCGTGCAGCATGAACGGAGCGGACGGGTGGTTACGTCGTTCCTGCGTTGAAGTGAACGGAGCGATGTGTACGTCGTTGCGGTATTTGAGTGAACGGATAGCGTGTGGTACGTCGTTGCGGGTGACTAAGTGGAAACGGGCGATTGGATAACGTCGTTGGTGGGTGATCGTGAACGGAGCGCAATTGTAGCGTCGATCGTGGGGTGGGTGAACGCGCGAATGTGGTGACGTCGCTTAGTGGGTGAGTGAACGGGAGCGATGTGGTACGTCGTTGCGGCCAGTGAGTGACGAGAGCGATGTGGTACGTCGTTCTGGTGGATAGAACGGAGCGATTTGGTACGTCGTTCCTGGTGAGTGAACGGAGCCGATGTGGTTACGGTCGTTGCGGGTGATTTGAACGGAGCGATGTGGTACGTCGTTCTTTGGTGAGTGAAAACGGAGACGATGTTGGTACGTCGTTGTGGCGTGAGTTGAACGAGCGATGTGGTACGTCGTTCCTGGCTGAGTGAACCAGGAAGCGATGTGAACGTCGTTCCTGGTGAAAGGTGCACGGGGCGATGTGGTACGTCGTTGTGAGTACGTAGAGTGAACGGAGCGATGTGCGTACGTCGTTGCGCGTCCTATACTCATTCAGTGGTGAAGCGGGCGATGTCGGTACGTCGGTTTCCCTGGTGACGTGAACGGAGCGATGTGGTTACGTCGTTGTGGCTGATGTTCTGAAGCGGAGCGATGTGGTACGTCGCTTTGCGGTGTGACGGTGAACGGAGCGATGTGGTACGTCGTCCCTGCGTTGACGTGAATCGGAGCGGATGTGGGACGTCGTTGTGGGTGACGGTGATCCAGATCCAATTAATTATTTAATTAATTAATTAATTAATAAAATTTTTCACAGTCACAGAATTGAGCTGCCTTGGCGGAGGTCTGTGCTCTCCAAGTGCTCTAGTTTATTTTATATTTAACGGCTGTTATGGACCTACAACCAAGGCAGGAGATGTTACAGACTGCATACAGTGAACAAAGAGATCTGTGGGTGCACTCACCCTCTTGCGCCATCTCGTATCCGTCCGGGTTCATGCTCGGCATCAGATGGATGCGCGTGCCGTCCACCAGGTGGCGTATGCGCGCGCTCGTCTCGTAGTTGTCGCAGAGAAGTTGTGCGAGCAGCAGCAGCATCTCGCGTCCGACAACCTCGTTGCCGTGCATGTTCGCTACATACTTGAACTCCGGCTCGCCTGCGGTGTGCGGATGATAAGCTAGTGTAAGCCAGGGCGATGAGTGATGGAGGTAGATCAGTCTACCAACCAAATGAACTTATTTAATGAGTCTGGATTACAGTTGAGAATATTGTTTAACTCCAGGTTGAGGGTTATCGTGGGTAGACACCGCAGGCGAGGTCACTCACTCACCGGGCTCATGCGTTCCGGGACGATCGCTGATCTCTAGCACGTAGAGCTGACGTCCCTCCACGGACACCCCGACCGAGTAGAGCCGCGTGATGTTCGCACATCGCCGCGACAGCTCCATCAGCGACGCCTGCATCGCCTCGTAGTCATGGTGATGAAACGTCGTCGGCTCGACGAACCTAGACAACACAAGAGCATCTCATGAGCGGAGGCAGGAATGATCTCGGGCCGCCACCCTAGCAGACGTGTGAACAGACGAAATGCATTTAACGTTCGTCATTGATTGGCGGAATCGTCAAGCAATTGTCATTAGACAGCAAGCTACGAATATTGAGCGGATGAAAATGTGACTCACTGGTTTTCATCTGCGTGTGGCGTCATTGTCGTCGTGGCAATCTGCGGGCGACCCTCGTCCTCCATCCCGCTTGGCAGTTCGAAGTTCAGGGTCGTTGCCGGGAACCCCCTCTTCACGACGATGCCGCGCTTGCTTACGGGAACGTACCTGAAACGTAGAATTCATGCCGCAGTTAACGACCCATGCAACGTGTGCTGACTCGTTCTAAGCGCAGGTTAATTAACGAATCTCACATATGAATTCATCTACCATCTGTTCCCCCTAAAAATGAATACCAACTATTAAGGATCAGTTTATGTACCGAGGAAGGCGCGGTTTTAGGCCGGTTTGCACCAGTTTCCAAAAACCGGTCACAGGCCTCAAAATTTACCAGAATGCACCAAATATAGCCTTATTATTTTTTAATTCCCAGGGGGGGCATGGCCCCCGGACCCCCCTAGCTGCAGAAGAACATATGGAAACTGGTCACCCTAACCCTCTGGATCCGCCCCTGCGAGGAGGTGTAAGTTGGTGTGATCGGAGGGACTACGATAGACCCAGGTCACGTGTATTATTATCTGTCTATCTGTCAGTTGCCGCTAGGCAACAACTCTCAGCCAAGATTCAATGATTGTTTTGCAGCGGCCGTCATCGACAAATCTAATGAACAACGTCTAAGTAAACCTCAACGAAATTTGTACTCCCGCGCGCATGTTAATCAGCCGCGTTAATTCGACGCTTTATTCGTCGCGGTGCCATCTGGCTCACCCGCTGGCGTTGGCGGTGATGTTGTAGCTGCCCTCGCTGAGTAAGCGCCAGTACGCGCCGTGCGAGTCGGACGTCACAGGGTGAGGAAGACCTTCCACGGATATGGTCGCGTTTGCAATGCCCTGCTGCGTTGTCGCATCCCTCACAAACCCGCTGGCACCTATGTGTACCTAGGTAACGTTCAGCAGGAGTCAAATAACGTGACGATCAAACAGCGACAGTGTGAATGTACATACAAAGTAGTTTAAGAGGGCTGAATAGAGGGTTCAATGGGATGCATTACGTATGTCTAGTGGTACACGATAACTTACGCTCACGTGTATCGAGTTCACGTAGGGAAACCTAATCAATGAATACATTTGTATTGTCACTCATAAATACTCGTTTATATTCTTTATGCTGTTTGCTAATAGATCATTTTCATATGGACACGTGACAGATTCCAAAACAAAATTCCATCTAACCTTTGCTACATGTGTTTTTAAACAATTCTCTCTGAGCCATACATCTCGTAGACGTAACAACACATGAGATGACGATAAGATACAGTGTGTTGTACAGCATCGTATCGCGATTATCGCTATCTCTTCATCACAAGCGCCGTTAACTAATCACCTGCTCCATGTACGTTAACAGGGCTTCACGATTGTTATCCCACTCGGTTGCCAACTGGGCCCTCGGTGGATGCTTGCAGCACGACAGCTCGAGAGTTATCTCAAAACAGTTGCTATGAAGATAGTTAAAATCTTCCATCCCACCTGCGAAAAACGAAGAAAACATGATCTTCTCACATATGCTTTTTTCGCTATAATCTTACTCCTAAATCGATGGAAGGAGAACCATTCTCAATCGAACAATGGAAAGACATTTCTGGATCTTACAACTGAATAGCATTTGCGAAATTTCAAAACATGGACCCGTCGCAACCGAAGAAGTTATTTGATCTTGCAACTAAACATCATTTGCGCTGCCTCGGAACAGTTGACCCCTCGCGACCTTGTCAATGACCAGGCATTGGGGTCGTCACCCAACATAACTGCCAATTCGCGCGCGCGTACGCACCGGGGACGTCGTACCACTCGGCGCCATTACTGATGCCGCCCTCGAAGCCGTGGTCGCCGCTGCATGGCACGCCGAGATGCATTGTGCTGTGAGCGTCGGCGTAGACGTGAGCAAGGTAGGTGAACAGCCGCTCGTCCGGAGTCGCGCTCTTCACGCCGTTCCTGTGAGTCGCGCTGTCGTCGAACGGGTACGACGCGACCAGACTGCCGCCGTGGAGGTTCGCCGACAGCACAAAGTTGTTCGCAAGGATCCAGTGCATGACGGCGGCAGTCTCGGGTGCGCGGCCCGCAAACATGTCGACGTGAGAGTAGTCGACGCCGTCGTACTGGTCCGGAAAGTTGCGGTTGAGGTCGACGCGGTTGGCGTTCGACCGTCCCGGCCCCTCGCAGCTGCCCTCGGTCGAGCGCTCGAAGCCGTCCGGGTTCATGCTAGGCATGATGTAAACGTCTGTCGTGTCGAGGATGGCGGCGACGCGCGGCGACGAGTCGTAGCTCTGCAGCAGGTGCTGCACGAGGAAGATGAGCATCTCGCGGCCGACGGCCTCGTTTCCGTGCATGTTGCCGACGTATTTGAACATGGGCTTGCCGACGGTGTCCGTCGCGTTGCCGGTGATTCGCACGTACCACAGCTCGCGGCCCTGTCCGCTCCTGCCAGCCGAGCCTAGCTCTGCTATGTCCGAGTATGTGTCGACGTAGTATCGCAGCAGTTTCGTCATTTTGTCGTAGTTGTGATAGCGAGACGTGTCGATTCCTATGCCGGCTGCCGAGGATCCGACGCTCTTGCCGGCGCATTTGATGCTGAATAGCAGAACGACGGCGAATATCGCAAAGCGAAATCTCATCGCGAAAGATGACTTCGCCTCCATGATGCACCGGATGTAAACACGTGGGCATCGCGCGCAGTGCATGAACTTCCGCAAGCGGGCCGATTCTGGTTTTTCCGTTCGTATCGTATCGTATCGTATCGTATGTTGTCTCAATCTTGTATTTCCCATGTATAGACTCTGGTGAAGGTGCTGCGAAGATATTCTGGGAATGTTGCAGATTCGGGTTCTGAGAAATGTTACCACGCAGTTACGTAACAGGGCCGTAGCCTGCGGGGGGGGGACAAGGTGGCAGCTGCATGCCCCCCTTAGATTTTGGAGCAAAATTAAAATTAAAAAAATTTCTACTAAAAGATTGCCATAGTCAGAATAAAGGTTGTACATGTATTCAAAAGTGCCTCAAATACCATCTCCTGTGATCTACATTTTCAAAATTTTTCTGGGGGAGGACTAGTGCTGTGCGTCGGATCCGACATGAACCAAAAATCCGATCCGACAGCATTTTTGAAAATCCGAATCCGAATCCGAATCCGATGGCTATTTTGAATTCCATCCGAATCCGAATCCGTTTTTGAATCCGAATCCGAATCCGAATCCGATGGCTATTTTGAATTCCATCCGAATCCGAATCCGTTTTTGAATCC